GAGGATTCTCACCTTCCATGTGGGAGACCTGGGTTCCATTCCCAGGCAGTGAACCTCACGCACAGCCCAGTAGAGATCAGGAGGCAGTGGTGGGTTGGGGAGGATTCTCACCTTCCATGTGGGAGACCTGGGTTCCATTCCCAGGCAGTGAACCTCACACACAGCCCAGTAGAGATCAGGCGGCAGTGGTGGGTCGGGGAGGATTCTTACCTTCTATGCCGGAGATCCAGCAGGTTTGATTCCCGGCCAATGCACCTCATGCGCAGCCACCACCGTCTGTCAGTGGAGGCTTGTGTGTTGCTGTGATGCTGAACACGTTTCAGCAGAGCTTCCAGGCTAAGACAGACTAGGAAGAAAGGCCTGGAGATCTTCTGAAAACCAGCCAGTGAAAAGAAAACTCTATGGGTCACAGTGGTCTAATCTGCAGCCGATCGTGGGGATGGTGCAGGACCAGGCAGTGTTCCGTTCTGTTGTGCGTGGGGTCACCATAAGTCGGGACCCACTCGATGACAGTCAGCAACATCTCAGGCGTTGTTATTCGGGGCAGGAAGCTGGGGTTGGTGGTGGGTCCCCGCCTGCTTCCCAGCATCTCTACAGTCGTTGCGGTCCCTCTCATGGGGTGGGGGGCTGTCCTCACCCCTCCTGACGCCGCTCTCCTTGCAGGGACGGGCTGCCCTACTGCGAGGCTGACTACCACTCCAAGTACGGCATCCGGTGTGACAGCTGTGAGAGGTTCATCACCGGGCGCGTGCTGGAGGTAAGCACGGCCGCCGGGCGCAGGACACGGGCGGGTGCAGCCGGGCTCCTTCCAGGCCAAGTTCCTGCTCTGGGTGCTCCACAGGGCAAGGCCGGTAGCCGTGAGCAGGGGGTTGGGAGGGCCTCTCAGGGAGCAAGAGTTAGCACCCCAAGTCACCGCCCCTTCTTCGCCCCTCCAGGGGTGCTCCGTGCCGCCACCTCCAGGCAGCTTTCCCTGCTACACTTTATATGTCAACAGGATTAGGAGGTGGGCAGGACTCTGGGATGTTTGGGTCCAGTCCTTACCCTTCTAGATTGGGGCTCTGGGGCCTGGAGGGTTTGAAGGGACCCTGGGAAGGGTGCTGTGCCTATGGCCCTGTGGCAGGACTGTGTCCCAGTGCCCAGAGAAGCACTGAGAGGTCAGGGGCAGGCCAGGTTAAACCACAGTGACAGTGTGGCTTCTGGGGCTGGTACTGCTGAGCTTTGTGACTGGGTGGTGACCCTGTGGCATGTTCACCTTCTGACAAAGGACAGGTGCCCGTGAGCCTTCCTGCACTGGGTTCAGTAAAATGGACCACAGGGCAGCTAGGACCACACCCTGCCCGCCGCCTGCCCCAACACCCTTCTTGGCCATGCGCAGACCGGGAAGGGGCCACGGGGGGCCACGGGGTGTCTTGAGGTGTGGGGTGAGGGCTGAGCCCTGGGGAAGGGGCCTGGCCCAGCCGAGGGGCATGGGAGCCTGAGAAATGAGCTCTGTAGGGTTTGCTACATGAAAGCAGGGGCATGGGGATAGGTTGGGGTGGGGATGAGGCTGTAGGGCCACCTGCCACTATCTGAGGGGACAGAGACTCATGGGGGCTTGGGGGCAAGGTGGGGCTGTGTCAGTCAGACTGGCATAGAGCTCACTCTGGGGGCTTCAGAGACAGGAGGGGCGGACGGGCTGGGGACATTCCCCGGATCACCGAGGATTCCTGCCTCTCCGTCCCCCGCTAGCGCCTGCGGGTCCCCGGGTCAGAATGCATGTGTGGGATCCGAGGTTGAGGTGCTTTTTTCACAATTACACTTACTATGCCAGGCAGATGGGGCAGAGTGGCAGCCCCTACCTCGTCCCCCACCCCCTCCCCAGCCTGGGGGTGGAAGGTCACACCCGGAGATCAGTGTTGTCCCTCCCTGTCACTTCACAAATTTCCCCAGGCTGGACTCTGACTGTTGGGGTGACTGATCCCACGCTCATTGTAGGGGGCGGAGAGTAGAGAAGGGCACCAAGGAAAACACATGACTGGTAATCCAGTTTCCTTCTCCCTCCCCATCCAACTATGACTGCATGGATGGAAAAAATACGGAAACCTGCCAAAAGGTTAGGGTGACCCACTGGATTATCAATAGTTTTTTTCAGTTTGAAATCACCCAGCAGCTCCATAGAAGAAACACCTAGAGATCCGCTCCCATACAGATTACAGCCTGGGAAGCCCTCGGGGACAGTTGTCCTCTGTCACATGGGGTCGCTATGTTTGAGCCCATTGTTGCAGCCACTGTGTCAATCCATCTCATTGAGGTCTTCCCTGTTTTCGTTGACCCTTTGCTTTACCAAGCATGATGTCCTTCTCCAGGGACTGGTCCCTCCTGACAACCTGTCCAAAGTATGTGAGATGAAGTCTCACCATCCTCACTTCTAAGGAGCTTTCTGGCTGTACTTCTTCCAAGACAGATTTGTTCATTCTTCTGGCAGGCCAAGGATATTCAACATTCTTCGCCAACACCACAATTCAAAGGCATCACTTCCTTATTCATTGTCCAGCTCTCACATGCATATGAGGCGCCTGAAAACACCATGGCTTGGGTCAGGTGCACCTTTGTCCTTAAAGTGACATCTTTGCTTTTCAACACTTTAAAGAGGTCTTTTGCGGCAGATTGGCCCAATGCAATGTGTTGTTTGATTTCGTGAGTGCTGCTTCCATGGGCGTTGATTGTGGATCCAAGTAAAATGAAATCCTTGACAACTTCAATCTTTTCTCTGTTTATTGTGATGTTGCTTATTGGTCCAGTTGTAAGGATTTTTGTTTTCTGTGTGTTGAGGTGTAACCCATACTGAAGGCTGTGGTCTTTGATCTTCATCAGTAAGTGCTTCAAGTCCTCTTCGCTTTCAACAGGCAAGGTTGTGTCATCTGCATATGGCAGGTTGTTAATGAGTTCTTCCTCCAATCCTGATGCCCCTTTTTTCTTCATATAGTCCAGCTTCTTGGATTATTTGCTCAGCATACAGATTGAATAAGTATGGTGAAAGGATACAACCCTGATGCACACCTTTCCTGATTTTAAACCACACAGTATCCCCTTCTTCTGTTTGAATGGCTGCCTCTTAGTCTATGTACAGGTTCCTCATGAGCACAATTAAGTGTTCTGGAATTTCCATTCTTTGCAGTGTTATCCATAATTTGTTATCATCCACCCAGTCAAATCCCTTGGTGTAGTCAATAAAACACAGGCAAACATCTTTCTGGTATTCTTTGCTTCACGGGCAAACATCTTTCTGGTATTCTTTGCTTTCAGCCAAGATCCATCTGACATCAGCAATATCCCTGGTTCCACGTCCTCTTCTGAATCTGGTTTGAATTTCTGACAGTTCCCTGTTGAATGTACTGCTGCAACCGTTCTTTAATTAATTTTGGCAAAATTTTACTTGCATATAATATTGTTCAATAATTTCCACGTTCTGTTGGATCACCTTTCTTTGGAATGTGTATGTCTATGAGTTTTTTCCAGTCAGTTGGCCAGGAAGCCGTCTTCCAAATTTCTTGGCATAGACGAGTGAGTGCTTCCAGTGTCGCGTCTGTTTGTTGAAACATTTGAATTGGTATTCTGTCAATTCCTGGAGCCTTATTTTTCGACAGTGTCTTCAGTGTAGCTTGGATTTCTTTTTCAATACCATCAGTTCTTCATCATATGCTACCTCCTGAAATAGTTGAATGTCCACAAATTCTTTTTGTACCGTGACTGTGTATTCCTTCCATCTTCTTTGGATGCTTCCTGCGTTGTTCAATATTTTCCCCATAGCATCCTTCACTGTTGCAAATTGAAGCTTGATTTTTTCTTCAGTTCTTTCAGCCTGAGAAATGCTGAGCGTGTTCTTCCCTTTTGGTTTTCTAATTCCAGGTCTTTGCACAGTCATTATAATAGTTAACCTTGTCTTCTCGAGCTGCCCTTTGAAATCTTCTGTTCGGTTCTTTTACTTCATCATTTCTTCCGTTCTCTTTAGCTGCTCTATGTTCAAGAGCAAGTTTCAGCACCTCTTCTGACATCCATTTTGTTCTTTTCTTTCTTTCCCTCCAGGTGGGGTTTCTCCTCTGAAACGAAAGGGCTCCAAAACTCGGCCAAGCCAAACCCAAATTCAGGAAGCACCCATACACCCCTGGCCCCTCCCTGGGCCACCCCTGTGAAGGGACAGCCTCCCAGCAGACCCCTGGCCACCGGGCTGACTCCTCCCAGGGCCCGAGAGCAGATGGCAGAGCTAGGCTGGGAGCCAGGGGGTCCAGGCCCCCAGCTCGTTCTCTTAGCCCCCATCGCCCGGCCTCTCCCAGCGCGCAGACGCTGGCCGTCAATGTTTAATGGAGACCCGTGTGTGGGGGCAGTGGTGGTTCAGTGGTACAATTCTTGCCTTCCATGTGGGAGACCCGGGTTCGATTCCCGACTGAGGCACCTTCTGTGCAGCCACCACCTGTCTGTCTGTGGAGGCTCTTGTGATGCTGTGATGCTGAACAGGCCCCAGCAGAGCTTCTAGTCTACGATGGACTAGGAAGAAAGTCCCGGCAATCTACTTCAGAAATTCCGCCAGTGAAATCCCTGTGGATCACAGTGGTCAGATCTGCAGCGGATCACGGGGATGGTGCAGGACTGTGAAGTTTTCCATCCCATTGTGCCGGGGCGTTGCTGGGAGTTAGGGCTAACAACCACCCATATTGTGAGGCTGACTGAAGCACAGGCCACCCTAGGCCCAGGTGTGCTGGCGAATCTCACCTGCCCTACCTTCCTGACCTCATGCCCCAGGGAGGCCAGGCCTTGGGCACAGACCCATCCCAGCCCTGGCTGCTCGGCCCTTCCTGTCTCTGAGCAGGCACTGCACCTGTGAGCCACCTGGAGCTGGCAGCAGGGGAGCCTCAGGGTTGGAGGAGACTCCCTCTGCCTGACCCCCAGCTTGCTGCCTGGCCCGGGGGTCACTGCCACGCTCGGCACCTGGGGGGGTCGCTCCGCTGGTGGGTCAGGAAGGCCAGTGGGGCTCTGTGGCTGCAGCATAAGCCCCCTGACAGCCATGCTGGGGGAACACAGGGCTTGGGGTCCATGCCATCTGCCAAGCCCTGTGCCTCTAGTCTTCAGGAGGACTGTCCTCATCCCAGGAGGAAGCGGATCTGGTTTCTTCTCTGTCTGTGGTGGAGGGTGAAGGGCCCCGGGAAGATTGATGCTCTTGTTTTCCCGCTGCCTGCCTGGGCTCGCGTGGAGGCTGAGCCAGCTCTGGGAGCGAGCATCCTCCTGGGCGCGGGCGGTGCCGCGGGCGGGAGGGAGCAAGCCGTGGAGGGTGCAGCGGCTCCGGTCCGCCTTCCTACGGCTCCTCTGGCAGCGCCCACCTGCGCTGGGCCCCAGCGCTTGGGCCCAGCCGGGCAGGGGCTCGGGGGCCCGGGAAAGAGGGACCCAGAGGCTGGCTGAGGGTGAGGTGCCCTTTGTCCCTGCCCCAGCCTGTGCTGCCGACACCAACACGGTTTGGCTCTGGTCCAGGCGCCGCTGCGCAGGTAGGATGCCCAGGGCTGACCTGGAGGCTGGGGAGCTCTGCAGGAGGGTGATTTGCAGGAGTGGGGACCCCTGGAGCACCTGTCACCCCCGTTGTGCGCCGAGAGGCAGGGAGCCCTGTGCCACCAGATGCCCGTGGGCGATGTCGCCAGCCTGGCATGTGAAACGGGGGGGCTGCGGGGCTCCCCCTCCATCTCCCCCAGCTGCACCTCCGTGCTGAGCGTCCCAGGAGCATCCCTGCTG